AGAGACTACACTTTCAACTGTGTTACTTTCAACAGTCGTGAGTCGAGCCTCTACAGCTGGTGACCTAGACCTAGCCTAACTAGACCGAAGCCTCCACCCGCAATGTGCCAAGGATCTAACTACAGACCCCCGACTGCTACCATAGAGGACACCCTGATTACTCAGAGACGATTAGTAGCAGATTTGGGCTATCCCCAATCTGCATTCACTGCACAGACTCTGGTGGCGAGCCACACTTCTGTGAACGGTACGACAACCACCCTACCCTTTCCGGATGAGTCTACTACCTGGTGGAATCCCCTTGGGGTGTACCCCCCTAAGTAATCTCTCCAACGGGTATGACAGACCAGACCCTATCCCGGATGAAGTCCATCCCACAGGCCTCGTAAGGTTTTAACGGGGGCCTGCCTGCAGGCATCATAAGTACGTAGAACCCGTCCTACCACGACCACTCGAGAGGATGCATGAGAGGCGGAATCAGACCAGGACCAGGGCGGGACAGATATGGGTTCAACCATAGGTGGAACCCTGGACCGGGAAACCTGATCGGTACCCAGAACATCTAGAGACACCCCAGGAACCCACAGATATCCCCCATGGAGYCTGAGGGGGTTCACACCCCTCATGCGGACTGACACCCTAAACCTAGACCGACCCCTAATCTAAACCCCGCACTGGCCAGTATGTCTGGTGCAGACCCAATCATCGGACAGGAGGCCTGACTGAACCCTTCGGGTACCCCCAACATCGGACAATCCCATGGTTCTGATCATTYAGGACAGACGACCCTCCCCCAAAGCCCGCGGTGAAATCCCTAAACTAAGTGCAGACCCGATCATTGGGTCGGAGATCAGACCCATCGGACACCCCTCATCTGCGGAATAACCCCCTCAGTCATAGGACCACCCCAAAGGCCGACCACTCAAACAGGTCCTCCTCCAAAGCCCGCTCCCAGCATACTAACATCATGGACCAGTCCCTTGGGCGGTGCGCAGGCAGTGTCTGTATAAACTTACCAATAGGTCGTCCCAAGGGTGGGGTGCGAATGGCACGGTGCTATGAAAGCGCGAAACGTCGGAAAAGCGCGCAAGCCGTGAGTTTTGAACCCACGACCTGATACCACATTGCGCATTTCCAGACACTGTCCTAAACACTTGGACGCACGCCATTCGCAGTTTCACAGTGCAAAGTGTTCACACTTAGACGTGCATGGCTTAGTCTTTGAGACAAGCATATGACTACTGGCTTCAACCAGGTAGCGGGTGTGACGAGCAGCCGCAAGGAGCGATGGCCGAGGCACACGTAGGCACGTTACGCCGGACAACCTACCACAAGAACGTCGAACAATCGTGGAACGTGCAATGAGCTGCCGAGACGCCGCGAAGTCCGGCTGTTTGAATTGCAGGTGAACTTCCCTCCATAGGCCATCTCCAACGGCAAGGTACCACACAATCCAACACAGCCCGCCGCACCCGCCCAAGAGATTGGCTGCGARCAGCACCCGCCCACACCACACCCAGAGATCGCAAGTTAACCACACGACCCAAACAACGTCGCGCGCGAACGAACCACCAACAGCTTCGGCCCACAGCCGGATGCCACCGCCCGCCCAAGACGTACCGACAGCGAGTGCACAGCCTCATCTCTCCATCGAGGAACGAGGGTGAAGAGAGAAATGAATGCACCACTCTTCCAACACGCCCGGACGGACGAAAAGCGTCCACTTGTGCACGGGGGCGCAAAAGGAACACAACCCCTCTCCCCCCCTGGGTCCACATCCGCCGGTTGCCACAGGCACCACCGACAGCACTCAACGCAGGCGAAAACCAGGAGACAGAGGACAGTAGCTTTCGAAGCCCACAACCTAAACGCAGCGGAACCACGACGCAACGCGATCCGTCACGGTGTGCAGCATACCGAGACCACAGGATGGGGGACACGACGGGCACAAGCGCGCATTCCAAAAAGTCGGCGGATGATGGGCCCAGCCTCGCGACG